CTTAAACATCACTAGAAATACAAAGTGTGATATACAATATAGAAAAAGTGAGTTATACAATATAGAAAAAGGACCACAATTAGTTTTGTACTAAATGTGTCAAGAAATATCTGAAGTTATATAATTACTTTAAAATGGTGTTCTAAATTAATTGTTTTTCTTTTCTTTCTTAGATCTTTCTTTAATCTCTCTTAATAGTTGCCCAGTTAGAATGGCCTGCAGATTTATTTTATTTTGATTAATATTTTAGCATAAGCCTTCACTATGCATCATGCAAAAATGAAGGAATATTAAACTTAAAATGCAAATACATTATGGTGCCTTCATAAAAGTAAATGTAAAGTAGCAAGTGACTAACATTATGTCCCTTCACGAATGTATTAATCTTAACAATAAAATTCCAGGCTATGCCTGTACTAGAAACTGAATTATAGGTACCAGAAATATAGTTTTCATTTAAAATTTTATAACAATGAAATATTCGTTTCATTCTGTGCGATTTATTTCAGAGTATGCTTAAGACACTTTGGAATTCATCTCAATAAATTTCAGTGACAGTAATTATTTATCAAAAAGAAAGGGAATTTTTCTGACACCTGTCTCCAAAAATCTTCAGCAAATTTATGATGAAATCCTAATGCCACTAAAGTTAATGGAAATATTTTTACCAGCTTCTAAGAGAGCAGGATCAAGTCTTCAGTTTTGGTATATTTATTGAATTAGATACTATGGAACCATGACCTAGAACTCTGTCAAGGTTCAATCTTTTGATGTATACCCATGAAAATTTCCAAGGGCTGTTATTCTGCTCTCAGTAATATTTACCATGGTAACCTACAGTGCTACACAAGAAATTTGCTAATTCAATGTTATAGGAAGTAACATATTGAACTACCTGAAGTTTAAATCCAGTTATTTCAGTTTGAACTTCCTTCCTTCCTTCCTTCCTTCCTGAAATCTTCCTCTCTTTTCCTTTTACTCCCTTCTCATTCTTGAACTTCCTTCCTTCCTTCCTTCCTTTC